CAGGACGACACCTTGGCCGAATTGGCCAAGCGCGACCGGGAATGAAAAAGACTTCGGTCCAAATTCCATCGAAGCCTAGGTATTCCCCGACGGCACCATCAGCATAGAAGGGGTTAGGCAACTTCAACAGCATATCATCAGTTCCCCAAGCCTGGCCCCGATGGGAGAGAGTGGTCTTCGGGACTTAGGTTCAGGGTAAACGGTCGAACACAGAACGCTTGGGGGGAGTGCAGCTTTAAATTTAGAGCTTGTGGGGTTCGACCACATCCCCCCCGGGCAGGTCGGGCATCCATTTGCAAACCGCCTGGCGTGTCCCTCAGAATCTGCAGGCGTCAGCTGAGTTGTTCCAAGCTTATAGATTCCTGGTTTAACAAAATCCTTCGCACATTTTTTGCCCTTCACCCTAAGGCCTAACTCTGAACAATTAAACCCTGATGCGATTAATAACAAAAGCCCAAAAAACCTTCAACCCTAAATCCCAAACCCGGCATCTGCGAACCTGGACACCCCAACGTTAACGTCCCAAAGCCTTTTGATTTGGGCACTGCGCGGTTCAGGGTTTAGGGTTTATATACAATGCTTTCAAATGTGATTGATTTGGGCCGAAACTTTATTAGCAGCACCTACCATTGCAACACTTCCAACAATCACCGGCTAGTNNTAGTAGCCGTTGAATCTGAAAAGCTGATATCTAAGCAAGCATGAAGCGATTATTATTGGACCGAACATAGGAAATCCAGCTCGATGTTATGCGTCAGGCAGCTGATCTTAAATTGTAGCAGTACACCACCCTGAGTTCACCTTCAACTTCAATGGACGGCTCTGAGCCCCAAGCTGCGCGTGGCACTTTCTCAGGTAGCCTCGCACCTGCCGGCGGGCTGCCAGTGGTGGCCACTGCTGAGGTCGCGGGATTCGGAATGTACAACTTCACTTGGAGTATTTATAGTGTTCATCGATTTCTACGGGGTTTTGATGAATTAATAAACAGGCTCTGAACATCGTCGTTCATTTGGCATTCTGCCTGCCACAGTGTGTGCTTTACCAATGAAGCGTAATTAGGTTTGCTCGACAGGTACGTAGCTTTACCAATGGTTTGTGGCNNTTGCCAATGCTTAAGCGTTGGTTCGAACAAAAGCAAGACTATAATAATGTTGACAGGTTGACACTGCTGGCGGGCCTTCCGGCAGGGATGGCGCCCACATCACCGGACGCCTCCTTGTCGCGCTATGCTTAGAACAGTCTCAGTCTCCAATTATGACAGCAGCGCTGGACGAACATGACAACCTCGAATGCAGCACACGTGAGAACTCTGTTTCCTGCATCATCGCTGGGTCAATGTTGGAGCCTTGCGCCGGACTTCACGGCTGTCGGCTGAAAGTTGAAAAGAAGAGGCTAGCAACGTCTGTCTGCCCTCACGCTCACACATTGCTTCGTACATGGATTGTCTATTCAGTTAAAATTTACATACAACCTTATTATAAACCTTAAACCCTGAAACCGAGGACTCTATGTCTACAGCAGGGAGACATACACGCCGCCAGGCCAGTCGAGGCCCTAGTCGATGCCAATCGCACAGGCTAAGACTTATTATGTCTAAGATCAGCATGCGCTTTGCAAAAACTTCGAATGTGCCGCGATCCCTTGAACATACAATTGCTGGGTGTGGTCTGGGGGCCAGTTACACCTGCATTCCTTTAGACCTGGATCCAGGGAAGGTGGCCCATTCAGTCGGTGACTCCTCAGGCTCAGCCCGTAAGCAAGCCGATCTTTTTCAGAAGATCCGCTCGTGATGAGCTGGACTGCTCACCCTGCTCGGCCCCATCATCACCACCCTTGACGACCGCATCTGCCGCTGCTTTGGCTTTTGCCTTGCCCTTCTGGTTCTTCGGCAACGACTGATCATCACCGTCACCCTGCTCCTTCGCTGCCTGCTGCATCGTTGCCGATAGACCCGCATCATACAGAGTCTTCTCATTGGCATCCGTCATGAGGGTCAGCACTCGCGAAGTCAGCCTCTGGCTCAGCGCCTGCATGTGGGCACTGGTAAGGCAAACCCCGAGGAAGGGGATGCGGTTGCGAATCGCAGTCATCGCAAAATGGCCGGATCCACAAGACAAGTCCACCACGCTGCTGGCACCTAGGGTGTGCAAGAGCTCCATAGCCGCCGCTTCTGGGCACTCGAAAAAAAAGGCTGGCTGGAGATCACTGGGCTTCAGCTGCTGCCCATCCTTGTCTGCATCGGCGGCCACTAAGTTCTGGGTGCCCAGCACTTTCTTCTTGTCGCAAGTCTTTAGTTGCCAGGTTTGCTTGGCGTCAGTCCACGAGGCTGCACTGAGTGGGCCGATCACGTTGCCCCGAACCTTCTGGCCCGCCAACGAGATGCGCGCGCGGTTCTGCAGGCTCAGCGGCGAGGTCGTAACCATGTACACCGTCTCGATCTGAGACAGCTGTCCGTTGCTGTTGCGCAGCATCCGCTCCTGTCGGCGGTGCGTCTTACTGATAAGACCTCAAGTTCAAGAACATAAAAAAAAGTGATGCAAGGGCCTCCAGGGACTCTGACGTGTACGTGATGTACTGCTTGGTGATGTGCATGGACTTGGAGTCCGGAATGGCTTTGAGGAACTTTTCTTCAAAGTCGGATTTTCCTCCATCGAGCCCCAGGATGCAATCTCCCTCAGCCCACACAGAGCCCTTCGCACCGTAGACGGCTTCGAGAAGTCTCGTCAACTGGAACTGTCGTGTGGGTGGTAACCGATATCTGCCATTCTCGCAAAGCAACTTTGCGTCCACAGTTATCACCGCATACTTCTTGGGGGCTCCTGCAGTCAACAGAGCTGCCGCATCCTTCATGTCAGCCTCCATGTCTCCGCTGTTCTCCTTCTCGTGGATAAGCCTGCAAAGGCCCTTCACACGGCGTTCGGCCTGTCTCATGCCCGCCTCGACCTTGCCGCGAACCTCCAACATCGATGACTCGGTTGCGCTGGCCGTGTTCTGCAGGAACATCTCCGCGGCACTGCGGTTGCAATCCAGAAGCGGCGGTGCCTGGGGTCTGGTGGGAACTCACTAAATAAGGAATCAATCCTGCGCGTGGTCTTCAACCCTTGCCTCTCAACTTACATGTGGCACAGCCTCCGCACCGTCGCCATCCTTTGCCGCAGCATCGTCCTCGCCCTCATCCGCGGACTCCTCCTGCACACCCTGCTCTTTCGCGTACTTCGTGTCGATGGAAGTCACGAGGGGCTTGATGTCCGCATGGGCAAGCGTGTCCTCGATGCCCTTGCGGTTCTTCAGGCAGGAAACAAGGGCATCATCCTTTTTGTAACCATACACCACCGACTCAATCGCCAAGAGCAAGGCATCAGCTGACTCCGGCCAGCTGCCCCGCTCCTGAAAGCCAATCACCTCCACATCGATCGCACCGAGATGCTCTCGGCAAGTCTCCACATCGATTGTCAGCTGCTTGATGCGCTCTTTGACAGCTGTTGCCCACGAGTAGCCCTCCAACTTCTTCCAAAGCGCATCTCGGATCTGTCTCTTGAACAGAAACAAATGCACCAGCGACTTCCCGCCCCAGTTGGCCGTGGTTCCTTCCAGGATGCTCAGCGGGNNCTTATTCTTGCCTCGCAGAATCAGATCACAATGGTTTAAGATTTAGGGGTTGAGGGCTTTTTTTTGACGCTTCTTACTTCTTAGATTCCATTCGCCCTACTACGGTTGTTTGGAACGCCTCTTAGGCCGAAGCTACCGGTCGGCCTGCCATTTGTTGGGATTCACCACCACCACTACCCCAGTACACTCGGGATTGAAGGCAATTATCCTCGGCGAATCCAAACGTACACCGGCCCGGGTCGGTGTACATTTCACGGTTCTGGTTGAGGGTTTAGGGTTCAGCAGCTCTGGTCGAGCAGCTTTGAAGAGGCGACGCGTACAAGCTAGATGTTTTGACTCCTAGGGGCCCTGCTTTTGACAGATATATTTGAGCTTTGAGGCAAGGCGTACAAGCTAGATTAGATGTTTTGACCCCTGGAGGGGCCCTGTTTTAGAAGACAAATGTTTTGAGCTTCGACGAGGCTAGGCATACGTTACAGGGTTGAGGGTTTAAAGGGGGACATTTAAGGGGTAGTGGACTGACTTAGACCCAAAAAACCTTCAAGAACCATGCCCATCGCCTGGCGTGCCGCCTGCGACGTGGAACCAGTCCCATGTCATGGAGAATGCCCACTCCATGTTGTTCCGAGACTTCTCAGACTTGGTCATGATCTCCCTGAGCTTGTAGACGGAGTCGACGGGGTTGTCGAGGCCCATCTCGTCGAACCTGAGGCAGACGTTCCGAACCTTCTCGTAGCAGAGGGCGTTTTTGTGCAAGCTGAGGCTCACCTCGACAAAAGTCGGGCTCACCCGCTCACTCCTCTTGCAGTATCGAAGCGTCTTGTAGTAGGCTGCCAGCGATTTGGTCGTTTGGCGCTCTCCCCCATCCTTCTCCAGCTGGGCCTTCATGTCAATGACTTCGAAGGTTCGCATCAAAGCACTCACGCGAAGATTGTCGAACAAGACGCCGATGTCCTCCCTTTCCTGCACCAGGGTCTTCATCATCAGGTCGATCTTGTGCTCCTGGTCGGAGTCCACGACCGTGAACCGCATTGGCACCGACAAAAGAACGTCCCGCCATCGTTCCAGCGTGGAGTCGTCGGCGCCGGACTCGATTGCTTCAGCGATAGCCTGCCTCAGGCTGTCTCTCATCTCCGGCGGATCGTACGCAAGGAGGTTGCCCTTCATCTCGTGAGGCCTGCAGCTGCTGCTTGGAAGCACGACGCGAACTTCGGTTTTCAGGTAAGCGGGCTTCGCGAAGAAATGAGCTTGAAGGTCGTTGATGCGGCTTTTATATTTCGGCAAATTGGGCTGCACTTCCCAACCCACGTTTAGCCAAAATAACGGAGCCGATGCGACATAGTCTTGGGAGGATGACAGACGCTCCTGTGCGACCTTTGGGTCGTACTTCAGCACGCCAGAGCCGGAGGACGGGAGCTCCTCCATGATGGAGTGGAACACCGGGTGGGCCAATATTTGAGCGTCGCACTGGCTCAAGTGTGATTGGATGTTGGCGTTGATGGCACTGGGACTGCTCGCTGCCGGAGCCACAGTGATAGGCTTGGCTTTCGCTTTGGCCGCCTTTGCTTTCGGAGCCTTTTTCGGGGCCGCCTCTGCAGCTTCAGGCTGCTCCTTGCGCTTGGCGCCCATGGTGTGGAACGGCACAGGGATCAGTCTTTCAGCAAGGAGTCACTGACGAGTCCTGGACTCGTCCTGGACCAGTCCCAGGCAACAAAGCAACAACAGTGCTGCACAACACGGACTGCGCCGGAGTCATATCACGAAAATCCTTTCAAAGGCAAATGGGGTTCTCAATCCTGTTTCCCTGTCCGTCGGCCACTGCCCGTTCAGGTCTTGCCTAATTTCAAGCATCCTCGGCCACTCCGAATGATCAAACCGCAATGGCAAGGATTTTCCAAACAGGTGTTCCTAGAAGTTTTAGAATGGCTGCCTGGGATGCTTGTCTCTTTCACATTAAGGAGCGCATGCCAGACTTCGAAGCAGCACCCGTCACACCAACATTCAACAAATGGATGCAACCGGCAAGTATTAGCTGGTCAGGCAGCTTGATCTCACACCTTCACGCCGATAACTGGAAGCAAGGCTTTGAACAGCCTTTCAAAGACCGTGGCAGTGAAGGCATTGCCCGCCATCTCCATGATGATGTTGTCCGAGACCCCAGGAACGGGAAGGGTCAACCCGAGCTTGCGAGCGTCTATGCCCTGAGCACGCAAGACTTCAGTCACCCCCAAGCACCGCTGCTTGTGCAACAGCCACAAGCAGCCGGCATGACTCTTGGTCACGACCGGGACCCCGTCGTACGACAAGTTTGACCAGGCAGGGCTGCATGCGATGTCAATGACGAAGGGCTGCTTTGTCACCGGGCCTTCTCCCAACGGCTTGCCTTCCTTGATTTTCTCCATGGCCTGAGTTCATTTAACATTGCATAGTCTGTCTGCCACGCACACTCAGACTCAGAGAACATTGAAAACAATGCACTGGCGAACAAGTGAGCTAAGTCACGCTGATGATGTTGCGAAGTGCCGTGCGGGGCAGGGTGTTCATGTCAACCTTGGGGTAAACGCCATCCGGCTCCAGGATGGGGTTCAGGCCGAAGGATGGCAGAGGACTGGGCCACGTCCACGACAACTTCTTCCTGTCCTTCCGAATTCCCACCACATAGACACGTTCCCGCGACGATGGCACCTGCCCAATCGTCCTGGAGTTCAGAATCTCCCAGTGAACCTCGTACTTCTCCCCCTGCAACGACTTGAAGAGCCGCAAGATTTCCTCGAAGTGAGTCTTGAACTTCACAGTGGTCAGATTGGCAGTGTTCTCCAAGATAACCAGGTCGGGGCACAAAGTGTCAATGGTCAGGAGAACCCTCCACACCAAAGTGCTTCGATCATCAGCCTCACCTGCCCGCTTTCCAGCCTTGGAAAAGGGCTGGCACGGCCAGCCCGCCGTATAAACCAGGCGAGTCTGACCACCACTTGTCTTTGGAACCACATTCAGGAGGTCTTCGGTGGATCTGTTGCTCACGTCCTCAAAGACATGCTCTATGTCTGGATGGAAAGCCTTCAAAACTGTCCGGTAACTCTTGTTCTTCTCCGACGCGAAGAGATGCCGCATTGGCACGCCCAGGCTCCGGAGAGCCAAGGCAGCCCCGTCCAGCCCACTGCAGTCGCTGCAGTAAATGATTCGCTTCTTGGCATTGCTGGTCTTGGACTTCATCGCCACCGGTTGCGAAGCTGGCATCGTGTCCACGGTGGACTGCACAGCTCGCTTCTTAGCCACCACCGGTTGCGAAGCTGGCAGCGAAGCTGGCATCGTGTCCACGGTGGACTGCACAACTCGCTTAGCCACTTTCCCCGAACTGGCCGGCATTGAAGCAGCCGGGCGCTTCATGCTGAGCAATGACACCGACAAGACTAACAAGGGAGATGGCGACTCGTGCTTGTCGTGGCAGCGGGACCCAAGTAACTTCAAGCAAGCAGCTCTCTTTCTCTGAATCAAGTCTGACATATAATA